TTTATAGTGATGTAGGTTTCTGATTGGCAGTCAATTGCTTCCCCATTGAAATTTCAAGCTAAAATTACTTATCGTTTGTTTTTATTGTTCTATTTACTTAGATTGTGGGAGCAACAATTCCTTTCCTAGTCATTCCCGTTGCTGATACGCAGTTAATCTGCGGGCAGAAATACATCATTCCCAATTGAAATAAAAAATGAAAATGTTGTTTACGCGAAACCCACTGGCCAATTTCAGGGACTACATGCCTCCCGTATATTTCGCCTTGTGTTGCTATTCTTTTGCTTTACTTTGTTTTTTTTTTTAAGTTAATTTTCAATTTTTAGCTGTTGGCTATTAATTTTAGCGAGACAAAATTGCGGGGGCTATGTCGGTTAATGACAACACGCGCTCCAAATTTATGATACCTCCGTATTTCGAGCGGACAGACGGTGTGCTGAGTATATGAAGAAAAAATTTAGGTGCATGAAAACAACTTGAAAATTAGCCTTTCTCCCAGCGGAATTCTTGCTACAGTCTACTTTTCGCATTAAGCGTAGATATGTTTATCTTTTGCATTTTCTTCTTTTTAATGCGGCTAGGGCGAGCAATTGGAAATTCTGCGACAATCGTTCAGTTCCTCGGCTAATTTGTGCCAAATGCGTAAAAGTTTTACGACCTGTAAATATGTGGCTTTTTTTTACTTTTTTTATGGCGTTGTAGCAGTTTTACAAATTAAAGCGGGAAAGTAATTCTATAAAAGGTAAAAAAAACTGTTCACCCTGTAATTTGTGTGAATGCAATAAAATTCGAAATAATTTTAAGTTTTATTGAGGAAAATGTAAGCGATATTCAGTGACAATATAAAGAAAAGCGTATGTAGATGCAGTTATCTGCCACCCGATGAAGAAAAGGTCAGGCATATGCATACATATATACACTTATATACATATACCTATTTTTATAATTTTTACAATTATTTTCATGAATAATTTTTTTCATTATTTATTTATGAAAATATAGTTTATTATATAATATAAACCATATATGTAAATACAAATTTTACACTTTATATAAAATTACCACAATTCAAAAAAATCTCATCCAAAAATTTTTTGAATATGCAGTTTTGCAGCGCATTCAATTTTAGTCTGATGAAGTGCACGTTTCAACCGACTACAAAATCGCATTGATTTTTGAGAACTTTTTTGACACGGAATATTGCACTTTTTTCCATATAAGCATGAATTTCTTATGAAATGAAATGCGGGACACCGTTACAAACAACAACTTTCAAAAAACAAACGCCAGTTTATGTAAATTGCACTTGCTATAAAAAATACCGCAAAAGCAGTCTGAATGGGTTACAAAACTGCGCACTCGAAAATTTTCTAGAAATTCTGAAGAAAAAGTTAAAAATTTGGGTACAATATTCTTGAATTTTTTTTTAACTTTATATAAGTTGTGAAACTTTGTTTTATATGGTTTATATTACAAAATTTTCACATATAAATGAGGCAAAATTTTTTCATGAAAATACATTTTCATTTGTCGCCTAGTGTATACCGAGCACTGACATTTTATAGCGATATATATAATATTTCAATGAAAATTATTAAAGTACTTTTCTTCAAGAACTGCAATCTTTGTTTACAGCTGGAAGCAATAGTTACTAAATATTTTTTTTTATGTTATAATCTTTTATCTCCGCTCTTACTCTTGTTTCTGCTGTTAGTATAAATCTTAATGAATTTCGTCTTCAACTTTTCCACTATTTTATTTTGTATTTTGCAGTTACAATGACGAAGCAAACAGAGCGTCGCGCTATTGTCGCCCTCAAGTGATCACACTCGCCTCGAAGGCCATGGCCAATAGTGCGGCCGCCGCCTTCGCCAGCCATCAGCTACAACAGCAGCAGCACCAGCAACAGCACTATCAACAGCACTATCAGCAGCAGCAGCAACAACAACAGGCGCGTCTGCCCATCACCGTCACCGCTGGTGGCTGTGGCATGGCCAGCCATGAGGGTCGTATTCATGGCGGTTTACCGCGCGCACTATCCGCACCAATCATTCAAATGCAGCCGAAATCTTGCCTCAGCCGCCGATCCTGCCTACACCGCTCAACAACGGCCAACAGCAGCGATAGTCGCAATAGTGACGCGGCGAGCGCGGAAACGGAGTGTGCGAATTGCAAATGCAACGAACAAAGGTGAGTGGACCGACCAAGAAATATGGCACACCATTTACTATCGACATGTACACGTAGCTATTGCTACGAGTATTTTATTTCGTTTTGTTTGCTGTGCTACGATATGATAAGCGCTCGAGTGGGTTTTTATTTTGCTCTGTTGGTGGTTACTCATACGCCATGTAGGGTCGCGGCAAGCGCAAGCGTATGCATTGCATACCATTTGACGGCGGCGGCGCTGCTTTGGTTTGCTCGTGTGCCGTTTCGTCGTTTCGCCGGTTTACCATTTCGACATTTTTATTGGCAGTGGTTTACTAGCGCGCAGCATGATTTATCTAGATATGCCAGTCGCTGAGACGGGCGATCTATAGTCAGTCTAGCGGAAATGTGACACCACCGACATGGCGCTAATCCATTCGGCAAATAGACAAATGTATGTATCTTCAGACGGTGGTGTGCGCACGACTTTATAAATCATTTGCGCTATTTTTACACAATATGCGCTTAGATATAGATGTGTGTGTGTGTGTGTGTGTGTGTGCGTTGGTGGGGACGCTTACCACATTTATGCAAATGTTTATTTAATACGCGGTTTATAGTTTGACGCAAACGTCAACGCTTGTGGCTCAAGCAGTGTTGGTGGCGGCATTGCGACTGTTTGTTGGTGGCGTTATTGTATTTCCCGCAAACTGAAAATTGAATCAAAACGCGACATGATATTTGGTTTATGTGTAGCCCTCCACCCACCCACCGCACTTTTCACCTTATTTGTGTATTTTTTTTAGCTGCTAGAAATATGTTTGAAATCAAACATAGAAATCTGCCACAGCTCCTGCAGACTTTCGCGCTATTTATTTATTTACTTAGATAATTCGAAAGTTGGCATTAAATATTTATTTAGTCAGCAAAAAAAAGACGTCATTAAATCAAAATGTCTGTGTTGCCGTCAGCAGCTGTCAGCCACAAAGCAACCTTAAAAAAATAAAAAGAATAAGACAAACGGCTATATTGACAACAAGATACTATGTCTATATATATTTACCCGTGGGGTAGGTGGCTGGCGCGATTGCCTCGAACAGGCTGCTTTCACTCACTCGAATGGCATTTGCTCTGCTCATAATTTGCGTTAATTTCTCTTTCTTTCACTTGAATTGTTTTTTTTTTTTTTGATGAGTCAAGGCGACGCATCGTTCTGAGAGTGATTGTACATAGTACATACACGGTGAAAATGCCAGAATTAATTATTTTTGTACATACGTTTCTTTGTAGCGGATGTGATGTAGCTATTTATAGGCTGTAAATTTCATGCGACCTTCCTAGCCAATGTTGCCAGTCTTTTAGGTACTGTAGTTATTGTGCCATAAAATTTTCTCGGAATCTGTCAGCATTTGAAATTTACTGCGAATTTTTTTTAATATGTAGATACATAGGACATACATACATACAATATGAAAGAAAATATTGCTTATTTTCATTGGTACTATTCTAAATATTTTTTTATTTTTTTTGTTATGACGGGTTAGAAAACTCCTGTTAATACTATATTAAACGACAAGTTGTTACATTTTTCGACAAGGATGTGCTTGGTCGAAAATGGTGGCACACTTATCTTAGACAATGCATTATCTTCAGTTTTGCATAAAGCACACGATTCCATACCGACATTGTACTTAAATGAAAACTTAAAAAAGATATACTAAAAAAAATAGAAATAACATTTCGTGCTCACATACCCGTAAATGCGTATGTAATGTATACGCCCCGTAGCGCCATAACGCTCAATCGCACGCCTGAATTTAAAACTCATGTTCAGTGTTGCCACAAAGATTTTTATTTTTTTAGCAAACCTCTAAAAAAAATTTACAAACTCAGAAAAAAAAATTACCAAATTTTTATGAGCATAATATTTTAATTCTACTAAAAGTTCTGAGTTATCAAGGCAAATTGTTACATTAAAGAGCCCTTTCAATTTTTGGCTCTCTTAAGGTGTAGACACATACATAGTTACATATGTTAGTACATAAGGAAATTTTTTTGTTTTGTGCAATTGTAAGAAGGTTCAAAGCTATAAATTTTTATAAATGATAAGTTAGTATTAAAAACTTAAAAGAAAAGACTTACGTTGAAAAAAAATTACCAAATTGAAAAAAAGATTACCAAATTTACAAACTCGTTCTAAAAAGAAAAAAAAAATTGTCAAGTCTTCGGACTAAAAAGTAAAATGTTAATAAAAGCTCTCACCCACCAGGATTTTTCTGAACGATAAATATACCCAATGATTTAAATGTGGTACGGGTATTCTTTTTTCCATTTAGAAAATCCTAGGGGGTGAGAGCTTAACATATTAAACATTCCCCCCCCGCATGAATTTTGGGACCATCCTACTGTACATACATAGTTATAGACCAGGACTCATTTATCTATATATTTGTGTATGTACGTACATATGTAAGTTTGGTTGTATGTTAGTAGGCCCGCTCATTATCAAATTCACACTAAGTTGCGGTCATTTTTTATTATATCAATGACAAGAATTGGTAATGATCACCTACATTAACACTCGCTTAAATGCATTTAAATGTGATTAATTGCAAGCATTATGAACTGCGAAAAATAAAAGCCACAATGCCTTTTGTAGGTACGTAAACTAAAACACTAAAAATAGAATAGGAATTCGCCACAAAATTATCGTAGCTCAATATGTACGTACATAGTTAAATATGCATTCCACGTTTAACATTAAACAACAAAACATCGAATTTGAGTGAATGAGCATTTGTGAAAAAAATATATACATATATATTTGCATAATTTTTTTTCAATTACTAGTAGTCTAAATTTATGCTAAAAACATCGCCTTTGCCCCACTGTCCGAGAGCTCAACAGCAATTCCATATACTAGGTGAGCGCATATTCCAACAGCTTCTCCTTTTGCTTATTTAATTTCACTGATGAACTTTTGATGTAAAAAAAAAATGCATTCGAATAGTCAAAACAGTGTATATGTATGTTACGAGCATGTTAATAAAAACATTTACGTGATTGTCAGACATGTAATATAATTTTACTCACATAAAATTAAATATGTACTACAATTTCCATGTTGGATTTTTTTTTTGCTAAACTGGTTATGGCGTTATTACAATGTTATCACGGTAATGAGCACTCCGCTTAGCTGATACCTCGATTTTACCTGCAGCAATTATAACTGGATCAAAGCGGTGCAGATATAGCGCAACTAAAGATACTCGCACATACTCACATATACATATACATACAGGTATTTACATAAGAAATATTGGGCGTCATATTGAATGACTACTAATTGATGACTCTTTCATTGGCTGTGACTTACCGACAAATCGATTGCTACGGATTTTTATTTTGGCAATAAACTCGATTTGCGTCAATGTGCGAAAAATGAATTCGTCATTAATGATTTTCCCAGCTGCCAATATCATAGGCGCAAATCGCTTAATTTGGCATAGACAACTTTTCGCCAATTAAAATTTTGAAAATATTAATGGCACATGCACATTTGTCCAGTTTTGTCAGATTTGTTTTTCAAACACTGTAAATTACCAAGAAAAAACTGTATTTTCAACAACGAAATCGCTACACATCTATCACCCTTTTTTTATCTTAAAAATTTACTTCCCTCCCACGGTGTTCGCCATTTTTCAACAATTTCTGTTCGTAGCATATTCAAACGCGAAAGTTGTAGAGAATTTCATTCTAAATTAGATTTTGCTATACAACTTTTGTGTCAATGGAGAACCCAATACTAAAAAATAAAAAGCAACAGCAGCCTCTTAGGTTTTTGAGTTTACCGGTTACGTGACTAGAGCATGATTTTAAATATTCATAAAGGCGAATCCAATATGGCGGTTAAAAAATTAAAGTCGATCCGATACGCTTGAAGCATTTTCCTCTGGGGTTTTTGGCGCCGCTTATTACGATTGGAGATCAGGTTGGAAAATTTAAAAATGGCGGAGCCAATATGGCGGTGAAAAAATCAAGTTCGATCCGACTCGCCTGAAACGTTTTTTACGCAGGTTTAGGGGGTTGGTGATTAAGAATCTGAAATCAGATTTAGAAAATTCAAATGGCGGATCCGTATTGGATCTGTCATTTATCGTGGAATAAGTTAAAATCGAGCGTACGTTCCAGGCGTATGAGTAACATTTTAGTAAGAATCTCGTCTGATTTTAGATTCGTAATCCTTAAACCCTTGATTGTAAAAATTTAAGCAAATCTAAACGAGTAATGCTTTTATCGCCATATTTTCCATTTTTTCATAATTCCAGAAAGTTGATTTTCCTGTCTTTTTGAACCACCCTTACCATCTTAGTGGTAGAACTTGAACCACCATAAAAACTATTCTACCTTACGCAACAAATAAAATATGTTTATTTTATAACAAACGCTCAACTGTAATTAAGACAAAAAGCAACAATTTAAGCACATAAAAATAAATAAGAAATCTCTAAACATTATTTTGATCACATACGTACATACCTGTATAAATATATCGTCGTATATGCATAGATATATGTATGTACATAATTACTTCCATATGCTCACAACATTACATTGTCTCTTCTCCCCACTCTCTGGCAAGCACATAAAGATGGGTGAATCACGTGAACTAATCGTGCGCCCGCCAGCCGTCTGGCATCGTCAACTGCGTGTCACCCAAAAATACACTGCAATGGCGGTGCGACGTTTGATGAAAATAAATAGCTAAACTAAAATTAAATTGAAATACGCAGCACACATTAAATGCTGTAAGTAATGTCCAACGAATAGCAACATAGACGAAAAGTTAGTTCTCTTTGAGTTCTAGCTATAATGTAGCTACTGTGGCTGCTTTCGTCGCTCACGCGCACTGCCGTGCGCTGTGATAAAAAAAGGTACTTAGCGGAAGAGAAAATAGACTTCATATGTACATATATTTAAGTAAATTTGTTTTTACATAGTGTCCATAAAAAATAATTTCACTTTGATTGTAGATAATAATG